TAGCGCCCGCCCGTCCCCCCGGGAGACAGCCACCCACCCCCGCCAAGCACTCCTGCGCCACGGCAACACGCTCTTTGTTCCCAAAAATACTTTATTTATAACAATATATCCATTATCTATAACATGATCCAAAAATAACAGATATACATTTTTACTTTACATTCCTTTGTTTTGTTTTTTTTTTAATAAAAAGATTTATATTCTCTTCCATTTACAAAGGGAACACAGATCTAATTCCTTTAAAAAATAGAACAATCAGGTCAAAGTCGTTTCCCCTCCAGTTTGGACGCGCTGCAGTAAAGCTGAACCCCGCAGGGTCTTTGGGTGTTCTGACAATCTTTAGTGGAACATTCCTTGGCATGTGTCACTCACCCTTCTCCAGAAAAGTGTATTTCACACTGTACATTCAAAATTCAGGAGAAAGATTTAAATCCCTTAAGTAAGCAAAAACGAAGGCTACTGGTATTTCTGTCTTTTTTATAAAAGAGTTTAAAAACCTCCCCAGTCGCTGAAGCTGGGTGTAAGCGGCCAAGGGATGCTTGGAGCTGGTGTGTCCCCGAGGGGACGGGTTATTGCTGGTCTCAGACACGTTACAGACATTACGTCGCAAAGAGGAGTGTGTTGTACCTCACACACTGCTTTTCCCAGCCCCATAATGAAGGGCTGTCCCTCCAGAGAGGAGCAGGGGGATGGGGAGGCAGTTTCCAACCAAACGCCCAATCCCTGGTGGTACCACTAGGAGAGCCTTAGGAAAAGGAAAAAAAAAAGAAAAAAAAAAAAAGGAAAAAAGCATTGTATACAATATCATTGGATGGAAGGGGAAAATAAAACCTGAGAGAGCATCGTGCTGCCCTCCAGCTGGCAGCTAAGCCCCTACCATCACCCCAGGTCAGCGAGGAATGGGGCTCACTCCCCGGTGACCAGCTTGCAGGCTGGCTCCTGAGGTATCACAAATACACCTACCCTCAAAAAAGAGGCAAAGAGAGAAGAGAGCTGACTCCGTTTTAAAGTCCAGGTTTGTGTGACTCTGCTCTTCCTCCCCCTTCCCTCCAGGGACGGGTTTCTCATTCGTCTGCTGCGCTTTCCGGCTGCTATTACAAGGGCAACAACCACAAACACCTCTCATCTTGTAAACACAACTATGGAAACTTCACACACGACACGCGGAGCGATGCATGGGTGCCAAGACACCTGCGACATCACACTTTAAATTAAAGCAGCCTGGAGAGAGTTGTTGATTTGGTGTTTTTTTTTCCTTCCCCCCACAGCAGATGCAATAAATCAACACGTTCACACAAAAGCTGTCTCAGTATCAGGAGGTTTCCTCTGCACCAGTCCTGACGTACCTGCAGCATCTACAAAGCCCAGCAGAGCAAAGCGGGGAAGGGAAGTTGGCAAGAGTGAGGTGGTGGAGCTGTTCTTCATGCAAGAGAGCGACTGGAACCTGTCAAGCTCTCCCTGGGGGCAGATGAGGAGAGAGTCAAGAGCTTGTGGGTGAGGATTAAGGGGCAGGCTGATGTGGGTGTTTATCACAGGCCACCTGATTAGGATGGGGAAGCTGTTGAGGCCTTCAGCAGAAAGCTGCAAGTAGCCTCGCAATCACAGGCCTTGGTTCTCATGGGGGAGAGTATCTGCTGGGAAGGCTACACAGTCACAGGAGGTTCCTCCAGTATATTGATGATAACGTCCTGACTCAGGTGGTGAAGGAGCCAACAAGGAGAGATCTGCTACTGGACCTAGTTCTGACAAACAAAGAGGGACTGGTGGAGGACATTAAGGTTGGGGGCAGCCGTGGCTGCAGTGATCATGAAAAGGTAGAGTTCAGGATCACGGGTAGTACGCACAAACAACAAATAGGATTGAAACCTTGGACTTCAGGAGGGCTAACTTCAACTTCTTCAAGCAACTGCTTGGAGAAATCCCATGGGATAGGGCTCTGGAAGGTAGGGGAGCTCAAGAGAGCTGGTTGTTGTTCAAATACCACTTCTCCAAGTTCAGGATCTGCGCATCCCTAAGAGCAAGAAATCAAGCAAGGGAAGCAGGAGACCTGTGTGGTTGAGCAGGGAGCTTCTGAAAAAGCTCAAGTGGAAGAAGGCAGTTTCCAGTGTGCGGAAGAAGGGACTGACCACTGGGGAAGATGACAAGAATGTGATTAGAGTATGCAGGGATGGAACGAGGAAAGCCAAGGCCTCCTTGGAATTAAACCTGGCAAGGGATGTCAAAGTTAACAAGAAGGGTTTCTTCAAGTATATTGGAGGCAAAAGGCAAACTAGAGAAAATGTGGGCCTGCTGTTGAACGAGACGGGTGCCCTGGTGACAGAGGATGCAGAGAAGGCGGAGTTACCGAATGCTTCCTTTGCTTCATTCTTTACTGCTCAGGCCAGCCCTTGGGAGTCCCAGACTTTGGTGGTAACAGAGAAAGTCTGGACGAAGGAAGACTTCCCCTTGGTGGAGGAGGATCAAGCTAGAGAACAGTTAAGTAAACTGGATATCTGCAAGTCCATGGGTCCTGACGGGATGGACGCGAGAGTGCCGAGGGAGCTGGCAGAAGTCATTGCTGGGCCGCTCTCCATCATGTTTGAAAGGTCCTGGAGAACAAGGAGCCCGAGGACTGGAGGAAAGCCAATATCACTCCAGTCTTCAAAAAGGGTAAAGAGGAAGACCAGGGAAACTACAGGCCAGGTGGCCGAGAAAATGTGGGCCTGCTGTTGAACGAGACGGGTGCCCTGGTGACAGAGGATGCAGAGAAGGCGGAGTTACCGAATGCTTCCTTTGCTTCATTCTTTACTGCTCAGGCCAGCCCTTGGGAGTCCCAGACTTTGGTGGTAACAGAGAAAGTCTGGACGAAGGAAGACTTCCCCTTGGTGGAGGAGGATCAAGCTAGAGAACAGTTAAGTAAACTGGATATCTGCAAGTCCATGGGTCCTGACGGGATGGACGCGAGAGTGCCGAGGGAGCTGGCAGAAGTCATTGCTGGGCCGCTCTCCATCATGTTTGAAAGGTCCTGGAGAACAAGGAGCCCGAGGACTGGAGGAAAGCCAATATCACTCCAGTCTTCAAAAAGGGTAAAGAGGAAGACCAGGGAAACTACATGCCAGGTGGCCCCACCTCCATCCCTGGAAAGGTCATGGAACGGCTCATTCTGGGTGCATATGGAGGAAAAGAAAGCTATCAGAAGTAGTCAACATGGATTCACCAAGGAGAAATCATGCCTGACTAACCCGAACAGCCTTCTACGTTGGCATGACTGGTTGGATAGATGAGGGGAGGACAGTGAACACTGTCCACTTCAACTTCAGCAAGGCTTTTGACCCTGTCTCCCACAGCATCCTCATAGGTCAGCTTAGGAAGTGTGGGTTAGATGAACGGACAGTGGGGTGGATAAAGAACTGTCTGAAAGACAGAGCTCAGAGGGACACAATCAGTGGCACAGAGTCCACTTGGACTAGCAGTGTTCCCCAGGGGTCAGTACTGGGGCCAGTCTTGGGCAACATATTCTTCAATGACCTGGATGAAGGGATAGAGTGTATCTTCAGTAGGTTTGCTGATGACACAAAGCTGAGAGGAGTGGCTGACACCCCAGAAGGCTGTGCCACCATCCAGCGAGACCTGGGCAGGCTGGAGAGTTGGGCAGAGAGAAACCTGATGAAATTCAACCAGGGCAAGTGCTGCCCCTGGGGAGGAATAACCCCCTGCACCAGGACAGGTTGGGGCTGACCTGCTGGAGAGCAGCTCTGAGGAGAAAGACCTGGGAGTCCTGGTGGACAACAGGATGGCCATGAGCCAGCAATGGGCCCTGGTGGCCAAGAAGGCCAATGGCATCCTGGGGGGCATCAAGAAGAATGTGAGCAGCAGGTGGAGGGAGGTCATCCTGCCCCTCTGCTCTGCCCTGGGGAGGCCCCATCTGGAGCACTGGGACCAGTTCTGGGCTCCCCAGTTCCAGAAGGAGAGGGAACTGCTGGAGAGGGGACAGCAGAGGGCTGCAAAGATGATGAGGGGCCTGGAGCGTCTCTCTGATGAGGAGAGGCTGAGGGACTTGGGTCTTTGTAGTCTGCAGAAAAGAAGACTGAAGGGGGATCCGATCAACACCTATAAATACTTAAAGGGTGGGTGTCAGGAGGATGGGGCCAGGCTTTTTTCAGCAGTGCCCAGTGACAGGACAAGAGGAAATGGGCACAAACTTGAACAGAACAAGTTCCATCCAAACATGAGGAGGAACTTCTTTGCTGTGAGGGTGGCAGAGCCCTGGAAGAGGCTGCCCAGGGAGGTGGTGGAGTCTCCTTCTCTCATTCAAAACCCTCCTGGACACGTTCCTGTGGGACCTGCTCTGGGTGGCCCTGCTCTGGCAGGTGACTGGACTAGATGATCTCCAGAGGTCTCTTCCAACCCCATATCATTCTGGGATTCCGTGAAGAGCTGTGTTCTACTTTCTTTCTTTGCAAAACATGAGTAAGAGGGTCAGTGTAACTGGGAAAAAAAAAAGACTTTTTTCTTTTGGAAACAGATGCCAAAATCTGTCCAGAAGTGTTTTTTTTTTATTCTATACTGTTTATTCAGATCGCTTTTACAGCGGAACAAAAGCTTATCTGGAGATCTCTTACTGCCTTTCCAGCAGTCTATACCAAGAGCTCCTGCACAATGGCAATGCAAAGTAGTACCCAGCCCTGACACCAACACACACCAGGGATCACAGCCAGCAAAGTTCCTGAACCCTGGTGTTACTGCTGCACGGTGGGGGGGGGGAGTTGGTTTGGGGCTTCCCCCTCCCCCCCCACCAGCAGAACCACCTTTCCTCACAACATCTTTTACCGTGGGCGGGTAAGCCCTGTAATACAGGACACATGAAGACAAGAATTATCTCTGTTTTTCCCTCAACTTCTGCATCCACTATAACTCAGAGGAAGGAAAAAACAGCAAGACTTTGGTTTTCCTACTCTTCCTTCCCCTGCAGCAGTTGATGCTCTGCTGACAGCAAGGATTCACATTCATAATCTGAAAGGCAGCTTAAAGAGGTCAAGAACCTAATAATGCACCCCACTTAAAAAAAAAGATAAGGAAGTAATTTAAAAACATTCCTGCTGAATGGCCTTCTTCAATAGCCCCGCTTCACAGCAAATGCTATTCAAACCCCTAAGCTGCAGCATCACAGGAATGTACATATCACCCTTAGGGAGCCTCCCCTTAAAGCTTGTTTTCCTGATTCACCCAGGTGCATCACAGGCAAACACAAGCAACAAAAGTCAGGCCTTCATCTTATTTTATGAATAAATCCGACCTTCTATGTCTCTAAGAATACTGTAGGTTTCATCTTCACAGTAATGTGTTTAAAGGATCTTCAGAGAAATGGAAATGGCCAGGAAAGGTAACACCCTCTCCCAATATTACGGTCACTAAGAAACACCGCAGGACAATTTCTTTGCTATTTAAAGGTTTTTCTCCCAAAAGAGACAAACCTTTTCCAGAAGGAGGTGAAAAGTCTCATGGTTTGCGTCTGTTAAGGTTCATGTGAATGGGGGCAAGATCAAGTAAAATAAAGGCAGTGCAAAGGTAGACAGAAGAAATTCCCCAGAAGAGAAGACAGGATCATACCTCTCCCCCAGAGCTGCACAACAAAGGGACTTCACACCTTAAAAAACAGCGCCTACCAGAGAAAATTCCTTCTCCTCTGCCACACCAAGCTCCAGGCCTACACTATTTCCAGGAGGGTGATGCACCCTGCTGAAGATACAGGTATTTCATTCTCCTGCAATGCCTTTCACAGACTCCTACAGAGCAGCAGAGACCACAGCTACTGGCTGCCTTAGCGCTTCATAGTAACACCGATTTCAGTGCTGTGCAAGTGTAACATAAATAAAACCCCTCTAGCAAAGGGATTTGGGAACTCCCTCACAAAGTTATTTTCTTATGAAAGCACAAGAATTACAACTGGCCACTGGACAATTAAATATCATACCAGAAAAAGAAGGAGGGTAGATTAAAAAAAAAAAAAAAAAAAAAAAAAAAAAAAAATTTGCAACATGAATGAAGGAATATATTAAATTCTTCTTGCCTCCGAGGATTTATTTCCCTCTACTCCTTACTTCTTTTTCTTTCTTTCCTGAACACAACGAGGACAAAACCTATAGGGAAAAAGAAGCAGTAATTAGTTCCTGAAGTAAACAACACATAGCCCAAGAACT